CTCGTTATACTTATGTACGGAATAAGTATTTATGAGATAAATACTTATAAAAATTTAAATTCCGCTGCAAACTCTGTTCCGTACAGTATATCGAACCCAACAGGCTGGTCGCAGCGGTCCTCGATAGACGGCAATCGGTTCGTCTGGCTGGGTCGCGGCGGTCCTCGGGCTCGGGCTCGGGCTCGGGCTCGTGGATCGTCGATTGCTGTAGAAGAGTATCGGGTCTCGAACACCTATGGATCTTCTACTGTATATCTCAAACACCATCTTCAACTTGTACCGATGGAACAACAAGAAGAAGATGAACTCGAATGAGAAGTAAGAGAGAGAGAGAGAGAGAGAGAGAGAGAGAGAGAGAGACGACGCACGTTATGCCTGTGTTTATGATTGAGTGTTCTCTTCTCATGAGCTTAATGATGTACATATAGAGCTACAGTAGGGACCCTTAAGAGATTAGGAATAGGGTAATTAAAATACTTGTGGGTCAGCCCACTTATTTTTATTAATTAAATAATATTAAATGGGTCACCAACATAATATTATTGCACTCCCTTTTCCTAGTCAAATTTACAATTGAGACTCCAATAATAATTACTCGATTTATCTCCCCATGTTTAAGATATAATATCCATTAATTAATTCGATTACTGACAGTCAAGAATTAATTAATTTATTATTATTTCAACGAAGCTAGCGCTCGTTCATAACATTCTTACTATGCCAGAATTTAATTCACCTGCAGGGTTTAGCATAATAATCCTTCATGACCTCATTCCGGGGACATCATCAAACTAAATGTACATGGTGACCGTAAATATCCTAACAACACATCATACATATAACAATATTACCCAAGACAGAGGGTTTATTGGTCCAGTTCACTAAACCTCACCCATGTGAATCAAAGATTTAAATACTACACATATATGTATGTTTAATTATCTTACGGGTTAAGAGCACGCAATAATTAACCGAGGCCTAGTTCGTTTACGACGATCAGTATAAAACGAATTGATCCTCTTTGGGATTCTGTTCAATACATAAATATACTAGTTCAACTAATCAGTCAAGAAAAACTTTACAGTTGACACTGCAACCGTTCTGATGCGGTGTTCATGTCCATCTAGGTTGTGAACCATTAATTCTTGTTTCGCGAGTAACTGATAGTATGATCTTCGGTTCGCCGGATGACGACCCACACTATCTAATGCCAAACAACAGAACGTAGAACTTGTTTAATCTAACATGTTTCTCATTCATGAAGGGTAAAAGTGTAATATCATCCAAAGCTAAGCTTTCAGTATATAACACTAACACTCAGTTCATTAATCATTATGCCGGATAATTATCCACCTGCAGGGTTTGACTAATATTCCTTCTTGAGCTCATTTCAGGGACGTCATCAACCCAGCGCACTGGGACATAATGACTGTAAATAATTTATAACAACACATCATATAAATACTCTTACTTACAAAAATACTGATTATGTCATCATAACAGAATATGAATCACCCTTAGTAAATCAAATAAATAAGTAATGAATATATATGAGCATTTTATATTATCTTACAACTTAAGAGTACGCATCAACTACTGAATGTCTAGATTATAACCACGATCAGTAAATCATATAATCCTATCCTTCCGTGGTTCGTTCAACACTTATCATAAGTACTAATGTACTTCATCAGTTAAAGATCAACTGAATCAAGACTACACTATAGTTTTTTTCCAACCGGGGTCTCACTGCATGTCTAAACTATGAACAATTAATTTATATTTTACAAGGAACCGATAATATGATCTTTTTGTTCGACACGACGAACCATATTATCTAATATGTAAAATAATTGAGAGGTCTCTCTCCCCTCACCCGGTATTGGGTACTCTCGGCACTCCTAACTCCGGCCTATCAGTCAGAGGATGGAGTTATAATTGCATAAATAAGTAAACTGCAAACACAAATACTTTGACTAAAACACGATTTGCATATCAAAATGATATTGATCATATCTGAAAGCCAAACTTTTACAGCATATCTAATAATCTCTCACTTATGCTTAATAAACTCATGTCTATCACTAACTATTTTTCTAAAAATAAAAATAGTTTTAAATGTAACTAAATTTATTTAAAAAAACTGTACCAATATTACAAGTCTGACCGACTGGTGTTAACCTTTTCTCTAGCAAACATTTTATTCAAGCGAACCGAAGTGGTCGATGAACCAATTCCCGGTCCATCCGGTCCTATCCGTCTCGTTTTGAAAACAATGAATAAATCATAATTAACGTTATTTATATATTTAATTTATAGTGCAATTATAATATTACTAGTACAACGCCTGTGTATTACACGGGGTCTTGTTAATCTTTTTTCTTAAAATCTAAAATTAATGAGAAAAAAGTAGTTGAAAATTTAAATAACATTTTATAAAAATATATATATCATTATATATTTAGTATGACACTTTTTATTTGTGTTATATACATGTGTTATATTATAATAATTTTTATAACTTACAACGTATAATTACATTAAACATAAATATATCAATTGAGAAATAATTTTATATTTCTAATGAATTTTAATAAATATTATTATTTTTTATTATTATAAAGATAAATACAATTTATTTATTTCATATATGTAATATGGATGTCAAATTGAAGATCATCAAAAGATGATTAATTTGATATATTATATATGTAAAACTGATAAGAAATACAAAAGTTATCAACTTTTAAAATACAATTACAATTTAATAGCTAATTGAAGGAAACAAATCAAAAGTCATGAATATATTAGTCACTTGGTGCCTCATTACGTAAAATTACAAAGAATTAAAGGGTTATATTAATACAAGTGATACTAAAATACCTAAGTTAGCTATAAAATAATTTATGGAATGTCCGAACCTAGATTATTATTTATTAATATATCAATATTATTTGTCCAAACTTAATGATGAAGCATGATTCTTCGCAAAGTAATATTTCTAAGCACCAGAAGCAGTCACGTACAGTAACGGATCTAGGAATTTTACTCAGGGGGGCCCGATTTTAAATGTTATATTGAGCTTGTAGTTTAACTCAAAATGCTCATTTCGTTAAAAAAAATGTATTTAAAAAAAATAAGTATCGATAATGTGTACGATCAAGTTTTTCAAAACTTAAAATTCGCATCACCTTCAAACTTTATTAAAAAATAAACAAAAAAAATGAGATTTCATGCATAATTTAAGAAGAAAATAAACGAGAAACTTTTGCTAACACGTTGTGTTTATCAAATGAACAAATTTAAAGAAAAACAATAAATAAATAAATAAATAAACTTTTGCAGCACATTGCATAAAATTTTTGTGGATGAGAGCTTATCAAATGAACATTTTTAGAAAATAAATAAATTTAAAAATATGTGATTATACACACACAAAAAAGAGTAAAAAATCAACATTGAAAAATGTAACAATTAATCAAACTAAATACTGGGTTTTATAAATCACTAAATTGATTTATAATTAAGAGGTTCAAAGAGTAAATCATTATAAAATTTAAAAAAAAAAATGTAAAATATAAAGATTGTTAGTACATTATTTTTCAATAAATAAATAATATTATTGATTTAAATAAATAGCATAGAAAAATAATTATTATTGTATTGTAAATATTTTTTACGTTTGTATACATATTTTTATAGTATAATAATTTTAAATATTCTACATTTGTATACATATTTTTAGTATTT